CTCTCTTTCTCTCTCTCTCTCTCTCTCTCTCTCTCTCTCTCTCTCTCTCACACACACACACACACACACACACACACACACTTCCTTCTTCAGGTAGACCTATAGGATCCAGTTGCACTTTATTATTTTACCAAGGTGAGCAACTAAATTCCAGAGATATCAAAGATATCAAGTGACTCACCCATGGTCATGCAGTGAGCTAATGCAGTTGTCGTGGTTTCTGACACAAGCACCTTCCTCTTCCCTGACTTTGTGCCCTACTCCTTCATGTAGCTGAATGGTTCCACTAAGATACATCAGCAGAGAGAGATAGGGAACTGGGGGAGGGAGGGGAGAAAATAGCAGAGATAAATAGACAAAGCCACTTTAACCCCTCTTAGTGTCATGTCAGTTATCATCAGTAGGTTAATATTGGGGAAAAAAAAGATATCAGATCAAAGATATTCGGAGTCAAAATTGGTAGAGAAAGGTCCGTTTTTCCAGGAACCCAAAGTATTCTCAGTAGCTTAGTTAACTCACACGAGAACTCAGTGAGGTCACTCTGAGCTTCGTTTTTATAGAGGACAAAACTGAGCCTCAGAGAGCTCCAGTTGAACTTCAGAGCAGTGTCCTCTCCAGAGCTTTGCTCTATCTTTTTTAAGAAGGCCCACTAGAGCCGGGCGTTGGTGGCGCACGCCTTTAATCCCAGCACGCGGGAGGCAGAGGCAGGCGGATCTCTGTGAGTTCGAGGCCAGCCTGGTCTACAGAGTGAGTTCCAGGACAGCCTCCAAGACAATACAGAGAAACCCTGTCTCGAAAAAAAAAAAAAAAAGAAGGCCCACTAGAGATTGGGTTCATTCTTACTGTACCCATAAAGCAGCTCACTATTGTATGTGCAGGAACTGGGATGCAGAGAATTGAGCAGACTGCCTAGGAGCTGAGGCTATGCTTGCTGCAGGTTGGCATGCTGTAACATCTAAAAGCCCAGCATGAGCTGATTTCTATTCCTTCTCAGCAAGAAGGGGAAACTGCCCTGTTCCGGAAAGGCTTCTGCAGTCGTCAGCCTGCATGTTCACACTGATGAGGCACTTATTTTACTTTCACAACACACTCCTTCAGTATGCACAGCACCCCAGCATTAGCCTCCTCTTCTAATTTCCTGAGCCCCAGGTTTTGTCAGGCTAGAAATCAAAGCTCTGTGTTTTGTGAGGGAAAATGGGACTGTGGAGAGGGACATGTATAACACACCCAACCTGTTTATAATATTAAAGCTTGAGCGTCAGAATAGTGTTTCATTAAGCACTGCTGTTCATTCAGTTTGGAGAGACACAGAAACACAGAAATGAATTGGCCCCATCATTTGCATGCCTTCAATCATTGTGACAAAAATGGCCTATTATTGAGAATATGAGCATTTTCAAAAATTATAGACAGCTGGAAAAACGGGGCTGAAATGAATACTCGGGATGAGGGGAAAGCATATTGTTCTATGCTTTATAGTAAATGTGTTACACTCTCCCTAATATTGTTTCCGCTATTTCTATTCTAATTTGAAAAGGGGATCCTGCTGTCACTAGTGTATTATAGGCCCATAACAAATGTAGCTGCTGAGATCCTGTGTTGCGAATGCCGTAGAATGCAATAGAATTTCATTTTGAGGACCAGGAATCCAACTTCTCCTACTGTCTGTGGCATTTTGGCTTTTGAAGCCGACAAGTAACCTTGGTCTTGGCATTATCAGATCGGGAAAGCGCTCTTTGAATCACATTAACCTTGCTGTCTTATACACAGGGGACAAAAGAAGCCAGCAAGGAAGTGGCTTCCCTGGCCTACTAGGTTTCTTTGCATCCTAGTTAAATTGTGGTAGGAAAGTCAGGCCAGGAGAAAGAGGCATCAAGATTACCATATGAAAAAAGTCAGAAGGACGCTAACCTCTTCCCACCAGGGCTGTCTGTAACCAAGCAGAGCATCCCTGGGAAATGCATGCAATCTGCAAGTGTGGGAGAAAACAGGAGTGGCCTAGAAAGGGTCACTGTGAGGAGACCTGGGAGTTTTCAGCCTGGGATTTGTCCCAGCTCTCTAGTCCATTCCCATTCTTGAGAGTCTCATTGTCTTTCTTAATGGACTGTCACTATTTCTATCACTATCCACGTGTCCCCGGTTCTCGTCTTTGTTCTGTGACAAAAGAACCCGGCTATCTCAGTGGGTGCCCTCCGGATTCGGATTCATGCTTATAACAAAGGACTCCTGCCAGTGCTGCTTGCTGTCCTCTCAGCCTCCAGCACCCAGACGCAGGGCTCCCAGTGCTCTGCTTGCTATACAAGCCAGGCTGACCTTTGTGCTCTCTGAATCACCAACCTTTTGTTGAAAACCACTGAAGGACAGTTCTGTGCAAACACTGAAAACCTCACCACGGTCAACCAGAGGCCCTGCTCAGGCTGCAGTGCCTTCCTTACCTTCCAAGTACTGAATCCTCAAGTTTTATACTCGCTGCAACTCAAGTTGCTCCTAAGAGATGAATAAGCAAAGACGTTGCAATTTAGCCTGTTCTTTTGCTCTTTTCCTCCTATCTCAGTCTCTCTCCAGAAGTCACACTCTTTGTGCCCAACCCGCAGTAAGTGGGCAGCCTGCTGAGAATAGTTATGAATGTGGTCCAAGACAAAAATGATAAACTGGCTTAAAACATTATGAGCTAGGTGTGGAGACCCGGACCTTTAATCCCAGCACTAAAGAGACAGAGGCAGGAGGATCTCTGTTAGTTCAATGTCAGCCTTGTCTACATAAGAAGTTCTAAGCCAGCAGTTCAGGGTTATATAGTGAGAATGTATTTCAAAACAACAAACATGAGATTTTTTTGCTATTAAATAGTGTGTGTGTGCGTGCGTGTGTGTGTGTGTGTGTGTGCGCGCACGTGCGTGTGTGCCTGTGACTATGCCATTGTGTTCCTATGGAGGTCAGATGACAACTTGCAATGGTTGGTTCTTTCCTTTTACCACATGGGTCCCAGGAATTGAACTCAGATAGTCAGGTTTGGCAGCAAGTGTTTTTACCTGCTGAGCCACCTGGCTGAGCCACCTGGCTGGCCCACATGATTCATTTCTTTGTCTCGCAAACATGAAGAGGGGTCAAAGAAGGGCTTGTAAATGAAAATATCCTCCACTGAGCTGTTTATATATTCACATTGGCCTGTTAGCAAAGCACTACCGTTTATTTCCTTGAGCTCTGTAGAGATAAAGCTGACTAGCACTTCCACTGATATTCGCATTGTGAGCATGCTTGCCTGTTTGTGCATGTGTGTTTACACTTGTGCCCAGGTTTCTTTTTTTACGCTTTGAGAAAATCCTGATTTTTCCCCCCCTGGTGCTGCTCACCACCTCCCTCTATCCTCCACCCAAGGTAATTTCCTTTTCCATATTCCAATCCCATTAATCCTTCTTAAATAAAAATTCCATAATTGGTAGCTGAGGGGTTGAATGTGCAAGCCACCAGTTTCAGAAAGTATTTTCTTAAGAATCCACTGAATACCATTACCGTGGTGATATAATGATAGGGGGAACCTTATGTGGCATCATGAGGAGAGCTACCTACTGTGTCAGGAAAGAGGGCACTGTGTGGGTGGCCATGAAAATGATAATCCCTGTATCTTCAGGGCTTACATCCTAACAAGCCCCCAGCGGGGTATAGGTCCTATTCCACAGATGTAGCAGACCCAGGGTAGCTTTGAGGGGAAGGTGAGGTCTACTTTGTGTATTGCAGCATCCAGTTTCTTTGAACAACTTTGCTCCTGGAGTTTGGGGCCAGGGATGCAGGAATGCCACACCTGCAGCAGCTAGACAAAGAAACCCTTAATGTAGGTTCCCTGAGGCTTGGGTAAGTCCAGGCAGAACTGGAGATTCTGAGTAGAAGGACAGGGGCACTGCTGTAAAATGGCTTGACACGGATCCCTTCATTCTTCAACTAGCCTCAGACTCATTTGGTACACCTAGGCAAGGGTTACAGGTAAACAGCACCTGGTGTTTGTTACCCAAAGGTTTCTACATTTTATCCTCACACTAACCTACTTGGTTAAAGGGGAGGCATTACTTATGTGACAGAAAAGGAAACTGAGCATCAGGAAGAGCAAGTTAGTATGCCACAGTTTCTGTAAGGAAGTGTAAAATTCCAAGGACTCAGTGCTCTGCATGCTGCTTCACCATACAGCAAGGGAAACAATGCTCTGGGAAGAAACATCCCTACACTAGCTCTCAGCTTACAGCATCCTCTTCCAGTGGCCCCAATGCCAGTGGTACTGCTTTGAAGCCCGCACTACTTTTGCATCAGTTGGATTGGAAGTGCTTGTTCAGTAATGGGAACTCCAGTGTCTTCATGCACTGCAATTTCTCCTATTAATTAGATAGGAAACGTCTGGGGTCCAAATTGTCAAGGAGCCTTATTCTCAAGGAATATCCATTCTTAAATTCTGGAACTCCGGGTCCCCCAGCTGAAAAGAGTTGAACTGGTCTTGATAACGAACACATAAATATTTATTGAGAGACGTGTTCTAATTATGAGAAAATGGCTGGATAGTTCCTGGGTTTCTGAAAATAAATCCCTGTGCTGTGCTGTGTGACCTTGAGTGTATACCTAATTCTCTCTGGGCTTCAGTTTCCTCAGATAGCACAACATTTTGACTCACTCTGATGTGGGGTGTAGTTAATTCATTCAATAAAAAATAGTGAGTGAATCTTTCTGCGGGCGGTGGCCTTGGTGCAGGGGATTTAACAAGGGGAGAGGAATAAGGGCGAGTGTGCTTTGAAAATGCTCAAAATCCCCCATATAAGGTTTTTTTAGTCATGCTTTATTTCCATGCTGACTTACCTTTTCAGAAAATACCCCCTCTTCCGTTGCAGAATGGAAATTGGCAAAGAGAGAGGGAAAAGGTCCAATTTGCGCCTTAGCTATTTTAAGGGTGGTTGAAATTACGAGCCAAAGTGGAGTGATGCACTCTCTGGAGTGACCTCCGTTCTCTCCAGCACAGGAGAAAGCCCAGGGCTTTTGCTTCAGAAGTGGCTGGGGCTCCTGGGCGCGAGGCATTATTATATAAATTCAAGCTCGCTCCTGATCCTTAGTACCCTGAGTTGCCTGAAGGGGGGAATGGCACTGCCTGCGTTTGCAGCCCGGGCGCTCAGGCCGCCTCTGCAACCAGAGCTAGGAGCGCCTGCCCGCACCACCTGTCCCCGCCGGCATTCCAGAGTAGAGGCCGAATTGGCAGCAAGCCTGCCCGGGTCGGTCGCCGCCTCAGTCCGCGCCGGCCCTCCTAGGGGTGTGTCTCTGGGATTCAACTCCCCGCCGCTACAGGACGAGCCCCCAAAGGCATTTTCTTCCTTGGCGGGAGCCTTGTGCGCCCCGCTCTTCGCGCTGCTGCCTCGAGGCCGCCGCAGGCGGATGCACGACCTTAGGCGACGCTGGGACCTGGGCTCCCTCTGCCGGGCCCTGCTCACTCGGGGCCTGGCAGCGGTGGGCCACTCGCTCAAGCACGTGCTCAGTGCAATCTTCTCCAAGATTTTCGGTCCCTTGGCCAGGTACGTGGTGTGCGAAAGTGGGGTTCGCGCTCTGGGTCCAGGGTGAGCCGGGGTGGCAGGAGCAGGGAAGGTAGCCGGGGAGAGAAGGCAAGGCTCAAAGTTCCAGTGAGCTTGCGGTGACCGGGCTGGGGGACTCAGGACCGGCTGAGCGCGCAACTGACCACGGTGCGGCTCCCTCCCCGCTGTTCCGCGGGAAAGGGCAGCACCGCCGCTGCCTCAGCTTGCAAAGTCCGGCTGCCCGCGGGCTCCCTTTCTCCCCTCCAGGGGAACCCTGGAACCCCAACTCACTCCCAGAGGTCACCCTGTGGGCAACGGGACAGGCACCAAGGGAGCCCGCGTTTCGGGTCGGCAGCTCGCACATGCGGAGGGGACTGGGGTCTGGGGCACCGGGAGAGTCCCATGGGCCAAGTGGGATGGGGATGGGAGCTGCAGAGAAAGAACAGAGCGGGAAGCACCCGGTGCCGGATAGGGGTGGGTGTGAGTTAGGGAGTGCGGAGACAGGGACAGGAGGGATCCTTCGGGGACCAAGACACCACGGAAGGGGGCCAACGGCCAGCGGGATGGAGTCGGGGTGAGGGATGGGGGTGCGGCAGAAGCCACAGCGCTGAGCCTGCCGGGAAGGAAGGAAGCGGGGAAGGGCGCCGCCGCCACCGCCGCTGTGTTGGAGTACTCGGTGTGGACGGGAGGGGAAAGGGGCGCTACGGTGGCACCAAGGGGTGGGGGCGGTGCGGGAGCGAGGCGAGAGCGGGCCAGGCTGCGGGGCTTGACGTAACGAGCTTGGGTTTCCCCCAGCGTCGGGAACATGGATGAGAAATCCAACAAGCTGCTGCTGGCTTTGGTGATGCTCTTCCTATTTGCCGTGATCGTTCTCCAATACGTGTGCCCCGGCACAGAATGCCAGCTCCTCCGCCTGCAGGCGTTCAGCTCTCCGGTGCCGGATCCGTACCGCTCGGAGGATGAGAGCTCCTCCAGGTTTGTACCCCGCTACAATTTCAGCCGCAGCGATCTCCTGCGCAAGGTAGACTTCGACATCAAGGGCGATGACCTGATCGTGTTCCTGCACATCCAGAAGACTGGGGGCACCACTTTTGGCCGTCACCTGGTGCGCAACATCCAGCTGGAGCAGCCATGTGAGTGCCGCGTGGGGCAGAAGAAATGCACTTGTCACCGGCCGGGTAAGAGGGAGACCTGGCTCTTCTCCAGGTTCTCCACCGGCTGGAGCTGCGGGCTGCATGCTGACTGGACCGAGCTCACCAGCTGCGTGCCCTCGGTGGTGGACGGCAAGCGCGATGCCAGGCTGAGACCTTCCAGGTGAGTCTTTGGCTACTTCTCAGTGGGTCAACCAGGGGCGGGAAAGGCTTTGACTGCAGTTTCTGGGGACCCTGTGCACACCTTAGCATCCTGAGTGTTGAGTCGCTGCCGGGTAGAGGCTAGGTACCCTAGAGCATATCTTTACAGCGCTGAGATGCTGTCAGGAAGCCTTTGGGCTCCAGCCTGGGACAGCTGGTTTCCCTATCAGGCCTGCTTGGTGGTTCTGAGTGAGTATGGGGAGAGTGGCCTGGCTGCCTGGAATGAGCATCCCAGCAGCAGTCAGGACTGGGCACTACACTCAGAGCACTAGAGAGCCCTAAAGAAGTGCTTTGCATGCAGTCTCTGGGTTTCTACTCTTTATGTCTTCTCTCCTCTGCACCTGGCTTGCAAGCCCAGAGCTCTTTCTCTCTTTGGTGATCCTTCCCAGGTTCGTGCTCCCACATTCTCTTTCCCCTTCTAGTTTCTGGCTTTCTCTAGCGGGAAATTCTCTGCCCATCTTGTCTGCTGTCGGTTACTCCTTTCCTTTTCCTGCTTTTTTTTTTACAGCGTCTATCTCCCTTTCCAATTTTCTCCTCTCTTTCTCACCTTTCTGTTTCTTCTTTCCTGGCTACTACTGCCTCCCAACCCCAGGTCTCACTTGTCTCTGGAGAGTGGATGTCATTCTGTCACTGTTTGCTGACACTCAGTAAGAGCTTCCAGTTCCCATCCTGTGCCCCTCACTGCTGCCTACACTGTGTTAACAGTGCTTTTCAAATATAAGGGGGCATGCTGCCCTGAAGACTAGCTGGAATGTTGCTCTAGACCAAGCATAGGGCTCAGGGACCCCAGGAGTGGTAGGAGCTTTTTCTGAGGCACAGAAATTCCATAGCCTCAGCACCCATGACCTGCTCAGGGTCTGGGTGACTGGGGATGATGCAGGAGCAACTGATTTATGAATAGTCTGTAGCCAGCAGGGCATTTTCTTCTCTCTAGCTGCTATGGCCAATTCCTGGAGGTCATAGGATGCTGTGAAGTGGACAAAAGGAGCTACTTTGGAGACAAATCAACACAGCCAGGGCTATTGTTTCCCAGAGCTCTTAAAAAACATCTAGGCTGGGGCACAGAGTCTGAGAATGAGTTAGTTGCAGGGAATGGGATTGGGGTCTTCCAGCAGGCAAGGCCATGATCATGTGTGTCTTGCTTTGCCCATTTTGGTGACATCATGGGCCTTCAAGGGTGCTAGTATTGCTTTTGACCACCGGGGCCCATCTTACCTCCATATCCCGTGGAGACACTCACTCAGTTTCCTGGCCAAAATGGTGTTTTGCAGGCGGCTGTTAAGAAACTGTGGGTGTGGTTTCTCCTGTCTAGCTTCAGGAAAGGGAACCCCTGGTTTTCTGGTCACAGCCTCAGTTTACAGTGACTTTTCTCAAAGGCTGGAGTTCTGGCTGAATCCTTTGAACTTCTATTTCCTTTCTACACTAACAAATTATTTATTTTCCCATCCCAAGAGAACCTTGGTCACAGGAACACTGGGCCTTGATTTATGGCAAGAATTGTGTAAGTCATTGACACAACAGCATCGTGGTGTTTAAGAAAGCTCCTTCACATTTGGCAGTACTGTAAATGATCTCTTATGCTGTCTAAGCTTGTAGGTATACTGAGGGATGGACAAAAGTAAACTTCCACCATGACAGCAGTGGTGAGGAAATACAAGAGAAGTCTTCACTGCTGTGGAAGCAATAGCTTTGTCTAGCGTTTGTGTGTGGCATGTGTGCCTATTTCAGTTCTTTTGAACATGTAGGTCAGGATGTGATGTCTGTAAATACATTATTAATGTAGTCTGAATTATCTATTAAACAGTCATTGTCCTTTGGCAGGTTCCTTCAGATGTAATCTATAGGATAAAGGGCTTGTCGAAGCCTCTTGGATTGTCTCTAGTTGAAGCAAAATTGTAATGCAATGTGATTTTCTCAGACATTGAAAGGGTGATACCACAGTGCCATCTAGTCTAACCAAAGAAGAACCACGTTTGAAAAAGTCAGTTGACTGTGCAGTAAACGAAGTAAAATTTCCTAGAGAAATACAATACTACCTCAAGAGCACTTTTATTATTTCACTCCTTTCTGCCCATCTACAGAATTATTCAGTGATAGCCAGAGGGATCCAGAATTTTCCAGAATGTTGACCGATCCTTGCTTGCAGAATGAGTTCTGATAATTAGTATGAATGCATGCATGCATGTATGATTGCACATGGGAGATGAAAATTTAGTAGTCAAGGCAACTGCATGGCTAGTGAGTCCTGAGGTGAGATGCTAGTCTCAGGACTGCAGAATACACCTCTGAAGTAGTTTCCAAGAAGAGCAGCCTGTGTAGATAAGTCATTCTATTTTGTCATAAGCTGCATATTATCTTGCTGTTTCTCTGGGAATGTGTACTCTCTTTTGGAGGAAGGCAGGCAGAACAAGAATATTCCCTTTTATCAGAAGGAACTGAAATCCACAGAGGCTGAAGGACTTCTCCAAGGTCATTGAGGTCTTTGGTGACACAGCAGAAATCTGTCTCTAGTTTTGTCTGACTCCATATACTTTGATATGTTGACTGTGCCTTGATGAACAGTTTTGCCAAAACACAATGAGGTATTTCCTTCTAGTGATTATAAATGGTAGCTGGTACTAATTTCACCTCCATTATTACTGTTATCAACCATTTTACACTTGCAGCTTTAGGGGAACGGTTGGGCCATAGTTGCCACCCTGACCTAAGAAGAATGGATTTCTGTATCAAGAAAGCTTTGTTCCAGCAGGAGTAGGTATTGGTGTTAGATTGCTCTGAGGCGTCTTTCATATGTTGGAAATCTCTGTAAAGCTAAACAGGATGGTGACAGATTGGAGGTATGGTTAGTCAGTGCCAGAAGGAGCCACCTTCTGAGGATGAGCCTTTCACCCACATTAGGGTCACCAAGAGGGCCTATGAGGCTGTAATGTAAGTCCCTGGATTCTGCCATTACTGCAACATCTGAAATGTTTTCATGCCTCCAGGGATGGTAAAGTGCTTGGGTGATATATAATAATATATTGCTGAATAGAAAGGACTGATCTTATTGTCTGGGGAGAGGGAAGGGAGGGAGCTTGAGACAGAGCCTGAGAAAAGCTCAAGTTGTTTATTAAACTAATATTTCCTTAAAAAAATTAGAAGTTGTGTTTCATCCATCTGTTTGCCAGTATGTTGCCTGAGGTCAGAAAAGAGTTCTGCTCATTTTAGAATTTCTAAGACCATTTAAAATATGTATCAAAACATTGTTGCACACCAGCTGTTCAAATTCTACAGGCTTTTTCCAGGCCCAAACTTCCTGCGTTTATAGCCAACTCTAGTATGTCACTTGGTCTGTGGGAGGAATTCAAAACTGCCAAGAAAGTGCACAAACCCTGTTCTTAGCTTGGTAGTGTGCTGGCTGGTGTTCATAGGATGGGTGTGGGCTCAAAGCACATGACTGTACTGAGACTCAGAATTTGCATATCTGCTAAAGTCTAGATTTTTAACATCTCTATAGTTTTAGTAGCCACACGGAAGAATAACATTAAAATCTGGTAGCATATTGTTGATAGGAATGAACTAAAAGGTTTTTGTTTAGATATAGGAAAACTTTCTGTTTGGGGGATCAGCCATTCATTTACAAATATGATAAAAACTTTCTATTTCTTTTAAAATGGTGCCTTTATTTTGAAAAAAAGCTAGAATACAGTTCATGTGTCTGATCATCCCTTGCATGTCCTTACTTGTATTTCTTCTCTTTATTGGTTTTGCAGTGAGGCAAGAGACAGCCGCGTAATGCAAGATGAGGCAGGGAGTGAATGAATTGTTATAGCAAGCAGTGCCACCCATGTGGTTCACCAGGCTTTGGTCCATTGGTCTCTCACCTTTACTTAGTTGCAGATGCCTTCCTTCCCTCCCTCCCTCCTTCCTTCCTTCCTTCCTTCCTTCCTTCCTTCCTTCCTTCCTTCCGTCCTTCCTTTCCTTCCTTCCTTCCTTTCAAGATTTGCATCTTATGTCTATGGTATTTTGCCTTCATGAATGTCTGTACACAATGTGCATGCCTGATGCTCTCAGAAGCCAGAAAAGGGTGTTGAATCCCCTGAGGCTGGAGCTAGAGATATTTGTGAAGCATGTGGGTACTATCAATTGAACCTGGTGCTCTGGAAGATCAGATCATGCTCTGAGCCAGTGAGCCACTTCTCCAGACTCGATGCCTTTGGTTAATTTATCTGTTGCTGAGAGCTTTTGTGTTGTTTATAGCCACGGGTACCAAATACCCAACAGAAGCGACTTAAAGGGAAGAACTATTTCTTTGTGCCCCTTTTCAGAGGGTTCAGTCCATGCCCTCTTGGTTCCATGTGCTTGGGTAGGATATCAAGGCAAGAGGAACAGGTGGCAGAGGATTTTTCTCACCTCATAGCAGACAGGAAGTAGAAAGGCAGGAAGGAATAAGGTATCCCTGAGGATCTGTCCTCGGTGAACCCTTTCTTCTAGCTAGGCCCCATCTACTAAAGTTTCTACCAGTTCCCAAAATAGTGCCACCAGCTGGGAACCAGGCATTTAAAATTTGAACCTGTGCAGGAACATTCATATTCAAAGTAAAATAAAGAGCAGGATGATGGGTGGTGGCGAAAGAAAACACGAATGAGAGAGAACAACAGCGTGTATAGAATTCTAGCTGTCATGTGGTAATTTAGATCTAATCTATGAACCAGGAGAAGTAATAATCATGGCCCTGTTATGGTGCCAGCAGTTGTGAAGATGAGAGTCAAACCAATGCCAAGAAAGCCCAGCTTATCCTCTTCAGCCTAAAGTCCCTAAAGTTTGCCATGTGAAATGTAGAAATGTGTAGATAAGATGACTGCAGGAGACCTTCATAACCTGAGGTGGTCCTGTCCTCTTCCTGGCCTGCAATGTGTTCTCTGTAAAATGGAAGATTTAAATAAGATGTTTCCGAAGGCCCATTCCTTTATAAAGTATGAA